AATTAAATCTTTTCAAAAATGCAATTTATGATAGGTAAGTCAAAAAACTCTGTAAAAATGTAAGTTCATAGTTGATTACATAATAGGTAAGTCAAGTTTTACTTTTTTATTTTCTCTTTCAAGTTTTAAAATCTCCCATTTAAAAAACCATGCAAAAATGTGAAAATTGAAAGAATATGTTAATATTATGTTTTTCCTCAGCTCAACTGTTCTCAGTTGAGCTTTTCTGATCAAAATGTGTCTGGCATCTGTCATAAAATTATGACATGTAAAATGATAAATTAGTCACTATTTTAAATAGCTCTACTGGTCAAAGACTAGGGTAGTTTATTGGAATGTCAGATGGCCTTAGTCCATTTAACTGTAAGCAATTTTTTTTTTTAAATACTATTCTATAATTTTGGTCTGATTTTTAGGAATGAGTACACAAGTAGACTAAACTAAGATACATATTTTGTCTATTTTGCCTTTGGATTTCAAAAAATGATGTTGGCATGATTACCGAAAATAAAAAATCTGTGAAATATAAATTTATTCTCCAATCAAAGTTGAAATGCAATGGTTCGCAAGACTTAATATTTTGATATTAAAGATTGATTCTCAACATCATCTGGTTTGGAGCTGGGATGGTGGGGTAGATTCCTATTTTATGAAACACATGCTTCATTCTTGTTTAAATATATGTTTAATTATAATTATTAAATATGATATTTTTTTACTGCCTTATATAAATGCAAAGATACTATTGATTTCAAACAAAAAGTTGGATAATCTCATTTGTCATTTAGGAAGTATCTCCAAATTTTCAAATTCAGTTGCTGTTTCATATTATATTTTGAAATTTCCTTTTTAAATTTATTTCAAGTCAAATTCTTATCATTTAAGCAGCACCCTTAGACTTCTATCTCTCTGCTGGGCCCTTGCTCACTGGTTAGTTTTTAGCTCACCTGAGCTGAAAGCTCAAGTGAGCTTTTCTGATCACATTTTGTCTGTAGTCCGTCTGTCCGTCTGTCTGTAAACTTTTCACATTTTCGACTTCTTCTCCAGAACCACTGGGCCAATTTCAACCAAACTTGCCACAAAGCATCCTTGGGTGAAGGGGATTCAAGTTTGTTCAAATGAAGGGCCACACCCTCTTTCAAGGGGAGATAATTAAGAATTAGTGAAAAATGAATAGCATCTTTAAAAAATCTTCTTCTCAAGAACCACAGGGCCAGGAAAGATGAAACTCATATGGAAGCATCCCCAGGTAGTGTAGATTCAAATTTGTTCAAATCATGACCCCCGGGGGTAGGGCGGGGCCACAATGGAGGATCAAAGTTTTACATAGAAATATATAGGAAAAATCTTTAAAAATCTTCTTCTCAAGAACAGTAAAGCCATGAAGAGTCATATTTATATGGAAGCATCCCCAGGTAGTGTAGATTCAAATTTGTTCAAATCATGACCCCCGGGGGTAGGGCGGGGCCACAATGGAGGATCAAATTTTTACATAGAAATATATAGGAAAAATCTTTAAAAATCTTCTTCTCAAGAACAGTAAAGCCATGAAGAGTCATATTTATATGGAAGCATCCTCAGGAAGTGTAGATTCAAGTTTGTTCAAATCATGACCCCCGGGGGTAGGGCGGGGCCACAATGGAGGATCAAAGTTTTACATAGAAATATATAGGAAAAATCTTTAAAAATCTTCTTCTCAAGAGCAGTAAAGCCATGAAGAGTCATATTTATATGGAAGCATCCTCAGGAAGTGTAGATTCAATTTTGTTCAAATCATGGCTCCCGGGGGTAGGGCGGGGCCACAATGGAGGATCCAAATTTTACATAGAAATATATAGGAAAAATCTTTAAAAATCTTCTTCTCAAGAACAGTAAAGCCATGAAGAGTCATATTTATACAGAAGCATCCTCAGGTAGTGTAGATTCAATTTTGTTCAAATCATGGCTCCCGGGGGTAGGGCGGGGCCACAATAGAGGATCAAAGTTTTACTTAGAAATATATAGGAAAAATCTTCTTCTCAAGAACAGTAAAGCCATGAAGAGTCATATTTATATGGAAGCATCCCCAGGTAGTGTAGATTCAAGTTTGTTCAAATCATGACCCCCGGGGGTAGGGCGGGGCCACAATGGAGGATCAAAGTTTTACAAAGAAATATATAGGAAAAATCTTTAAAAATCTTCTTCTCAAGAGCAGTAAAGCCATGAAGAGCCATATTTATATGGAAGCATCCTCAGGAAGTGAAGATTCAAGTTTGTTCAAATCATGACCCCCGGGGGTAGGGCGGGGCCACAATGGAGGATCCAAATTTTACATAGAAATATATAGGAAAAATCTTTAAAAATCTTCTTTTCAAGAACAGTAAAGTCATGAAGAGTCATATTTATATGGAAGCATCCTCAGGAAGTGTAGATTCAATTTTGTTCAAATCATTGCTCCCGGGGGTAGGGCGGGGCCACAATGGAGGATCCAAATTTTACTTAGAAATATATATAGGAAAAATCTTTAAAAATCTTCTTTTCAAGAACAGTAAAGTCATGAAGAGTCATATTTATATGGAAGCATCCTCAGGAAGTGTAGATTCAATTTTGTTCAAATCATGGCTCCCGGGGGTAGGGCGGGGCCACAATAGAGGATCAAAGTTTTACATAGAAATATATAGGAAAAATCTTCTTCTCAAGAACAGGAAAGCCATGATGAGTCAAATTTATATGGAAGCATCCTCAGGTAGTGTAGATTCAATTTTGTTCAAATGATGACCCCCGGGGGTAGGGTGGGGCCCAATGGGGGATCGAAAGTTTTACATAAGAACATATAGAAAAAAAATTTCTTCTCAAGAACAGAAAAGCTATGTTAGTCTTATTGATTTTGAAGCATCCTCGGGTAATGTAGATTCAAGTTTGTTCAAATAATGACCTCTGAGATAGGGAGGAGCTACAATGGGGGATCAAATTTTTACTAAGGAATAAATGGGAAAATTCTTTTAAAATCTTCTCAAGTACAACAAATTCATTTGTTATATTGACATGAAAGCATCATCAGGTAGTTTAAAATTCAACCCCCCCCCCCCCCCCCTGTTCATTACTGAACTGATTTGTGCCTTAGTCTAGCCAGTGTGCTCAGGTGAGCGATGTGGCCCATGGGCCTCTTGTTTTATTTATTTATGTCATGTCTCAACTTAAATAACTGTAAATGAAATGGGGGATGTGCAAGTACCTTATTCATTTGGAACAAAATGATATTTCTTTTTCTACTTTTTCTATACATGTATATCCCAAACAGCAGTTTAACTAACCAATTATCACACTGTTCAGTGATAAACCAGTCAACGGGGTAGTACCGGTACATGTTGGCAACACTGAAAATAAGGATATCTTGACCTATTGACTATACTTATAAACAGTGATATATCGATCCTGAACTAAGTTTCATTTTTATACTCATTTTCTTCTTTCTTTATCTTATTTTTTTGTCTTCAGGTGTTCTGCAGGGAAGCTATTAATCTCATTGAGATGAAAATGTTTTAGAGTTAAATTAATATGCCTGAGACAGTGTAGATGTGCACACCTGATTTCATTTTGGACATACATGCACATTTGTGCAAATTAAGTGACAGATATATAAATATATATTTTTATAATACCTTGAGAATGACTATTTTATGGTAAAATATGACATTCAAGGTCACATTTTAAATTCTCTTATTGTCAAGGTCATAGAAGAAGTTTAAAATGTTTTTATTTTTTCTCAGTTTGTACATCAGCGGCCCATTTCATAAAAAAAAAAATCTTAATATGACTAAGATGAAAATTTTACAACTCCGTAATTCTTTGTTCAATAAAGATATTTATTTTTTTTCTAAATATCATTTACAATGTCATATAACGTAAAAGAAATGTAAGATTTTTTTGTGACACAGCTTAGATGCTTGTTGGTGAATTGGAAAAATTTTGTCTTAGTCGAAAGATCTTTTGTGAAAAAGGCCACTGCCCATATTCAACTATGTCTTATAATAGGATTTTATTAATTTAAAACTAAAGCCCCCCCCCCCCCCCTTCCACACCACCACCACCACCACACAGAAAAATACATAAGAGTAGGTCTATGAAGAAGTTCCAAATATATTGGTAATAAAGGATAAATTCTTAAAAAATCATCCTTTAACGTTTAACGAAGTTTGAATATCTCGAATTAATTTCTGAACCATCCCTATAGTGTAGATTCAGATTTGTGCATGTCATAGTCTCTGTGATCAGAATTGTGCCACACAGATATGTATAGGCTATCTCAAAACAAGAAGAAATTAATAGGTAAACAAGATATCAAGGGTCATTCTGTGCTAAAAATTTGAAGTGTGAAAACCATGTTTAATGTTTATATGTTTAATATCACAGTTAGAGGTCTCATCATTATGTATCTAGATTTATATTTGTCAAAAAGGAAGGGAATATTATTCAGGTGAGCATTTTACCCATGAACCTGTTGTTTGTTGTAAAACTGCCTATTGTTATACCTTTAAAAATTGACTCTTGTATTTCCATTTCCAATGTTTTACTGAGTGGTCGTAAAAAAAAAAATCAATGTTTGACCGCAGAATGTGATATTGGACCTGTCAATGAGATATGGACTGCTTATGTCACATTGTGGGTGGGATCAGCTAAATCTTATTTGCATTTGTTGGTGTTCGACAGTGACAGAATTGAATGTTTCACCAAAGTGCAAGTAAAGGCTTACAAAATGGAAGCCAGCACAAGATGCATGTATGTCAAAAAAAAATAAGTAAAAGGTATAACAAAACATTTATTGACTGTGTTCTCAGGCAACATGCATTCTGTTGACCCTCGAACCAGCCTGTTTGCCTTCAGCCTAACAGCCTCAGGCAAACATTTTGGTTCTTGGGTCTGACAAAATGCATATTGCCCTCAAACCCAGTTAATAAACGTATAACATGTACATGTACATTGCTTGAACAGTTGATATTTATTGTTGGTTTTTATTTTTTTCCAGTGTGATATGATCATTTAAAACTGACCTAAAAGATTCTTAAGGAGTGTAATAGAACAAGCCACAGATTCAGAAGTCTGCTTTGACAATGAGCACAATGCCCCCAAAGCAAACCAAAACCCCAAACGAATCTGTCCAAGAGATGGGGAAAGGTACACGTTTTTAAAAAATTATTTATAGGCTAATTTTACATTATAAGGTCATTGGTGTTGTAGTTTCACTTTATATTATTTAATGAAGGCACTACATAGCCGTTTCACGAATGCTTTTATTTACACTATGTACGTACAGTAAGACAAGCAAGCTCAGACTGAATTCTGATGGCTAAGGCATGGCATTATCAAATTACAAGTATGAATGAAATATCAGAACTTTCCCAGGATAAAACTGCAAGGTTAGCAAACACATGTGATCTATTATGGAAACATTTGTCAGATCCAATAAACAGTATATATCATTACTATTGGAATCACTAGGTAACCTTTTGGTATCCTTTCGTTACTGGCTTTATTAGGTCACCTAGCTGAGTTACTCAGGTGACCTGTTGCTATCTGCTTTTGTCCGTCTTTGTTCGTTGGTCGTAAACTTTTGAACATTTCCAGCTTCTCCTCTGGAACCACTGAACCAATTTTAACCAATGAAGGGGAACAAAAATTTTGATGTTACCCCCCCCCCCCCACACACACACACACGCACAGAGGAAACATTAGACCTAGAGATCTAGGAGTTAATTTGTAGTTGCAGGAAACTTTGAGGAAAGTCTAGCTACTTTCAACAATGCTTTCTTACACTAAGTAATGGGATGTTTCGCACCGGTGCATGGTTCGCCCTGAGATAGTTCGCGCCGAAGAAAAAAATGAGCAAAATTACAGAGAAAAATAGGCAAAAATACAAAGTAGTACCGGTTTAGAATGAAATATGAAGATAATGAACAGTATTCAATCTTGAAAGTCCAATGAGACGTCATACAAATCTTGAGCAGAGCAAACAAGGACCTCAAAATTTAGAGGTGGGATCAGGTGCCATGGAGGAGTGAGTCACACCGCTGTGTTCTCCTTGTCATGATCAGGGGGGAAAAATTTTCAAAAATGTTACAATATTCTACATGTGTATATAACAGTGTTTATATAAAATGTTTTGTTGTTGCTATAAATGTAGGTACAGCTTAATCAGAGAAGCATGGAGGATGCTTTTAGTATGTTTCATTGCACCAGTCAAGGTTTCAGATGCTGCAATTTCAGCTAAAGAAGTTTGACCAAGTTTTTGGAGCAGGTCTCATTTCCAAGTAGCTATAAGCCCTATACTGACCAACTTGCTTGGATGTTACATCTAAGGATGCACACTACCAGGCTTGCTTCGGATGCTGGATCTGACCTACATTTTCCGGATGCATGACCAGGTTAAAGTTTTTGGTGCAGATCTCATTTCCAAGTAACTATAAGCCCTATTTTGACCAAACTTGCATGGATGATACATCTAAGGATGCACACTACTGTACTTGCTTCGGATGCTGGATCTGACCTACCTTTTCCAGGTGAGTGATCAGGTTAAATTTTTTGGAGCAGGTCCATTATCAAGAAACTATAAGGGCTATCTGAACTAAACTTACATGGTTGATGCATCACAGGACGAACACTCGAATTTGCTTCAGATGCTGGATTTGACTTATATTTTCTGGATGAGTGACTAGTTTTAAATTTTTAGGTAAGTCCATTTCCAAGTAACCGCAAGCCCTATAAGACCAAAATTGCATAAATATTACATCTAGGAATGCACACTACTAGATTATTAGTTAGAATGGGGCTTTGCCTTACTTTAATAAAGACATCACTCATTGAGGTGAACTCTGTAATCTGTGATTACTGGGTACCTATGTTTGAAATTCTTGGGCAACGTAACTTCATCTTTCAGTTAATTTTGCTTTATGCTTCTATGGATCCTTTACAGTGTTGTATTATATGCAGGTGACCGTTAAGGCCCTTGGGCCTCTTGTTAATTAATAGATAGCTAAATATGATATGAATTTGGATATATCTGTCATTCTGTATGTCTATCACTTATGAATATTTTGCAAAGTAGAATATTAAAATGAATAATTGCATGTGATGATATCTTTAACAGAAGTGACAAAAGAAGCCATTCGTAAGTCGGTGTGGAATTATTTGGAGGACAATGATTTGGTTCAGTTTCCCCGCCCAGTACATCATAGGATCCCAAACTTTGTGGTTTGTTCTATTCTCTTTGTAAAATTTACAGATCGGATATTAAATCAGGGTTCTCCTCTAGGGCCAACAGCTGGTGATTTTTTTACCTTCAGTAGTCAGAGGTTAAGATTGCCACACTGTGAACATTCTAAGTCATATATGATGTATGAATTTCCAAAAGTTACAAAAAACTAGCTTTTGCAATGAGAAAAATTGTTTATTTAGGCCAAAAAAAATTAATCAATAGTTTCTCAGGCACCACCGCGTCAGGGCAAACACTGCAGCATTGATTAATTTTATTGACATATTGAAAAGGGAAATAACTCAATTTTCTATTTTTCCAAGTTGGAAAAGAAAATTGAGTTATTCCCTCTTTCAAGACGTTTTTATTAGCTCACCTGAGCTGAAGGCTCAATTGAGCTTTTCTGATCAAAGAGTGTCCAGCGTCCATCTGGCGTCTGTAAACTTTTCACATTTTCAACTTCTTCTCAAGAACCACAGGGCCAATTTCAACCAAATTCTTTGCCACAAAGCATCCTTGAGTGAAGGGGATTCAAGTTTGTTCAAAGGAAGTGCCATGCCCTCTTGTAAGGGGAGATAATTAAGAATTCGTGAAAATTTGGTGGCATCTTTTAAAAATCTTCTTCTCAAGAACCACTGGGCAAGAAAATATGAAACTTATGTGAAAGCTTCATTAAATACTCTAGATTCAAATTTGTTCATATCATAACCCCTGGGTGTAGGGCAGGGCCACAACAGGGGGGTCAAACTTTACAATAGGAATATATAAGATCTTCTCAAGAACAGCAAAGCCATGATTAGTCATATTATTACAGAAGTATCCTCAAATAATGTAGAATCAAGGTTGTTCCAACCATGACCCCCGGGAGTGGGGAAGGGCCACAACAGGGGAGTCAAATTTTACCATAGGAATATATAAGAAATTTCTTTAAAAATCTTCTCAAGAACAGCAAAGCCAGGATTAGTTATATTATTAGAGAAGTATTATCAGGTAGTGTAGATTCAAGTTTGTTCCCACCATGGCCCCTGGGGGTGGGACAGGGCTACAACAGGGGGTAAAAATTAACCATAGGAATATATAGGAAAAATCTTTTAAAATCTTCTTTTCAAGAACAGCTAAGCCAGTATTAGACATATTAATACAGAAATATCCTCAGGTAGTGTAGATTAAAGTTTGTTCCATTTATGACCCCTGGGGGTAGAGCAGGGCCACAACAGGGGGGGTCAAAGTTTACTATAGGAATATATAGGAAATGTCTTTAAAAATCTTCTTCTCAAGAACATCTAAGCCATTATTAGACATATGAATACAGAAGTATCCTCAGGTAGTGTAGATAAAAGTTCTAATCATGACCCCTGGGGGTAGGGCAGGGCCACAATAATGGGGGGTGTCAAAGTTTACTATTGGAATATATAGGAAATATCTTTAAAAATCTTCTCAAGAATAGCTATTATAAAGCCATTATTAGTCATATTAATACAGAAGTGTCCTCATGTAGTGTAGATTCAAGTTTGTTCAAATCACGACCCCTGGGGGTAGGGCGGAGCCACAACAGTGGGTCAAGGTTTATATATGAATATATAGGGGCATTGGAGTAAAACACATTGAAGACTTCAAATAGTGGAATGACCTGACAACCCTTGGAATGGACTAGCCTAAGAGTATATAAGGCAAAGCTTTGGGAAAGTCAGGCATTCAGAAGGTAGTTGAAGAAGATGGATAATGAATCAGCAATAAAGAAGTTAAGGTATTCCATCCTTATAACAAAAGATTCAATGAAATTGAATACATAACAGATGTGTAGGTGTTGAATACTCAGTATATTTAGACAGAATTCCCATTTATTCCTATCAGCATGTAAGGGTGGGATGTGTTCTAATTTATGACCTTGAATTTTGGTAAGAGTTTTCTCCCTCTGTTTTTAATTAATAAAAAAAAAAAACAATTTTAAGAATCTTACCGGTAAAAAAAAATCATTTTCAATTGTCATTCTATTTCTAATGTGTTTTAGAGCATTTTTTCACTACAGTATATATTGATATTCTTATTATTTGAATTTTTATTTTTAAAAAATTGCTCCATAGACCTCAATGCAATCTTTGTTAAGTAATCAAGTTCTGGGTGATCTGAAGAAGATTGAGACAACTGGTTCTTATCTATCAATGGGAACCTAGGGGAGAAACATGCTGTAAGTAGTACCTTACCCAGTCCCCATTTCTAGATAAGAGAAAATTTAAGTACTATGTGATATACCCTCAGACATAGCTGTCCAATGATTAACTCAGAGTAAAAGGAAAACCTACTGTATATATCCCTGGTAAGAACCTGATCATACACGTTACATAGGAAATATCTTTGAAATCTTCTCCTCAAGAACAACTAAGCCATTATTAGTCGTATATATACAGAAGCAACCTTAGGTACTGTAGAATCAAGTTTGTTCAAATCATGACCCCCCAGGGGCTGGGGCACAACAGAGGGTCATAAAAAAAAGGTATAATACCTGCTTCCAAAAAAAAAGAACCTGGTTGCCGCATTAAAATTTTTGGCCTGAGAAACTATTGATTGATTTTTTATGGCCTTTTCGTGATATTATTCTGTTTTTTCAAAGAGCTAGAGCCACAAACCATCGAAAAGAAAATGAATAAGGATTTCAATAAAGATAGTATAGATTTTTATCTTTTAATTTCTGGGTTTTTTTTTTTTTTTATGATATCAGATTTTTCAAAAAGAGATTTTACAGTATGGAATTGTCTTGTTTGAAATTTGCATAAGGAACATCATTATTTGTAATGTAACGTCGTAAACAAAAATCCATTGCAATTATATGAACACATTTAAAAACTTAAAATTGGAATAAAGAAGTATCTAATCAACATCATAATCATTTTACCAATATATTTAAAAAATAAAAAAGAGGTGTTGATTTCATATTGCAGTTTATGCAATAACTGTGCATGAGTGTAAACTGATTGCATTATATCCTATAGTACATGTAAGAATAGTCAGTGTCCCCAAGACTGGGTATCATTTAACAAAGGAGCGTTCTACAGTATATGCTATCTTTGTACACATGAGCGCTGCAATAGTCCTAGTTAAGTATTAAAGTATCTAATACTATAGACATATAACTTATAAATGCTATATTTAGGGCCCTGCAAGAATTTGCCGGTGCCCTATAGTAATCACTCTTCTGTCTGTCTGTCTGTCTGTCTGTCATTCTTCTCTCCACAAATTATCTGTTTTTTTTCTAATAACTTTTTTAGCTCACTTGAGCTGAAAGCTCAAGTGAGCTTTTCTGATCACTGTCCGTCTAAACTTTCCACATTTTCACCCTCTTCTCAAGAATCACTGGGCCAATTTTAACCAAATTTGGTACAAAGCATCCTCGGGTGAAGGGGAGTTTAAATTGTTAAAATGAAGGGCCAAACCCCCTTACAAGGGGAGATAATCAAGAAAAGACAAAAATAGGGGCCATTAAAAATCTTCTTCTCAAGAACCACTTGGCCAGAAAAGCTGAAACTTATGAGAAGCATCTTTGGGTAGTGTAGATTCTAAATTGATAAAATCATGACTCCCGGGGGTTGGGCGGGACCACAATAGGGAATCAAAGTTTTACATTGAAATATATAGATAAAATCTTTAAAAATCTTCTTCTCAAGAACCACTGGGCCAGAAAAGCTGAAACTAATGTGGAAGCATCTTGGGGTAGTGTAGATTCTAAATTGTCAAATTCATGACCCCCGGGGGTAGGGCGGGTCCACAATAGGGAATCCAAGTTTTACATTGAAATATATAGAAAAAAATCTTTAAAAATCCTCAAGAACCACTGGGCCAGGAAAGGTGAAATATGTGGAAGCATCCTTAGGTAGTGTAAATTTAAAATTGTTAAAATTATGACCCCCGGGGGTAGGGTGGAGCCACAATAGGGAATCCAAGTTTTACATTGAAATATATAGAAAAAATCTTTAAAAATCTTTTTCTCAAGAACCACTTGGCCAGAAAAGATGAAACTTATGTGAAATCATCCTTGGGTAATGTAGATTCTAAATTGTTAAAATCTTGACCCCGGGGGTGGGGCGGGGCCACAATAGGGAATCCAAGTTTTTCATTGAAATACATTAGGAAAAATCTTTTAAAATCTCCTCAAGAACCAATGGGCTAGAAATGCTGAAACTTATGTATCCTTGGGTAGTGTAGTTTCTAAATTGTTAAAATCATGACCCTGGGGTTAGGGTGGGGCCACAAAAGGTATTACAAGGGGGGCAAAGTCTGGTGAAAACTGCAGGGCCAAAGATACAGTACAGCTCACGAGTATCTTCCGGAAAACACCGGCCACGGTGGACCCTTGGTCCACGCTTTTGCGTGGACTTTGAAAAATGTTGGTGTCTTTGATGTTTCGTTTTCAGCGCTAAGCTGGCACACGGTGCGACACGGTGTGTACACGGTGGGACACGGTGCGTTTGCTCCGTGGAACTCCGTGCTGGTTAATCAACGTTAAGTGGTTTGAAATTACTTTAAAATAATTCATTGAAGATTTTAGAATAAAAATCATTGAAATGCATATCATCCGCAGCGTGCATATTCCTACTTTGGATATTGTACTGACGTGTCAATGAATTTAACAAAGACGGAATTTTACCATGCAGTCAGCAATCTTGTGTTATTTGGAAGATATCTTCTTAAAGATTATTTTGTTTGTAAAACAAAAGCTAAATCTAAATTTAAGGACATTGGCAAGTCAGGGCTTTCCGGAGAAAAAAGGTTTAATACATGGGTTTTTTCACTTGTAAAATAGTGATTGAGAGTGATCTCCCGTGTAGAATTCTCTAAGCGGTGAAAACCAGTAAAGCGTATGTTATAGAGGTAAACAAAAGCACGTGTACTTCCTTCAACGGGTAGAATCTTCTATACAGCAAGAAAGAAAAGTAGTAATGGCTTTGTTGTACATTGTATTCAGGGACAAAGAGAAAACAGGTCGTCATTTACCATAGTTATG